GGTTCCCCCGGGACTCCAACCCAGAACCCTCTGGTCCTGGTTCCCCCTGGGACTCTAACCCATGACTTTCTTGCTGTGAGGCGATGGTGCTAAGCGTAAATTTGGCTGTTTTAGCCCATTAGCCAGTTGATGTTGTGGCACTAGAAGTTTTGGGAGGCTCAGAAACATTATGGTAAACAAAAAAAACAGTCAAATAAATAAACAAATCGGTTTAGGTGCTGGAAAACGCATGGAAACGGTGCATTTTCGGGGCCTAAATGTGCGGCATAATGCTGCCTCTTTCCTCTTTCTGCACCACAGCAAAGGAACCGTGGCCTCCACGGAAAGCTTTTCATCCTCCTTAGAAAAATAGTTTGCCCCAAAAAAAAAAACAGACAAAGGAGAGGAGATATAAATCGCTGTCTGTGGCTCCCAAAACTGAAACCTCTGACTAACAGCCTCTGAAAATACCTCCCCAACTGTCTCTAATTACAGTTTGCCATGATCTCAGCATATGTGATTATCATATATGATATTATGAAAATGAAAGAGGTTTAAAAAAGACACAAAGATGTCCGGTTCAGGCCTAAAAATAAACAAAGAAAAGCCTTTTTTTTGTCTTCTTCAGACTATCAATAATGTAGATTTTAGTGTTAACCCTTTAAAGCCTGATCCAAGAAAAATAGGAAGAATATTGGATTTTTTTAGTCTGAAGTCTTTCTTTGGCCCCTCAACAACATATAAAGAAAAAAAAACAGAGATTATTTTGATCAAATAAGCGTGCAATAAGTCAAAGATATATTTTTGTGTAGTCTTCTACTGGCTGTTTTCTGGTATATCTGAATGTGTACAACAGGGTGTCAGATCCAAAAGACTTTAGAAACCGTACATATATAACTTCCCCCAATATACAGTACACGCCTACGGGATAATTGGAGCGTGTTGCATGTAATAATAACCCTAAAAATCCCACCCTGACCGTAAATGAGTGGCTGGTAGTGGAGGGTGAGGACCTTTGTGGGAGGTGGGACCCCAACTGGGTTGTGTTCCCATCCCAAAACCCACTTTTAAAGGGCGGGGCGCCCACTGTAAATGACAGATGGGGTGTGGGGGGTGGGGGGCACGTGGTAATATCAAGGTGAACTAAATATAAGGCCAGAGAGGAGAAGAAAAATGCGTCCCGGACTGGTGTTTTTTCTTTTAAATGCCAGGTTGCCATTTGTGGATTCCTCCAGTGAGCATGGAAAAAGGGCACGCACACGCTCAGATATATGTGTCTGCTAATGCAGTGTTTTTCAACCTCTGTGCCTCGGTACACTAGTGTGCCGCGAGTGATGGTCAGGTGTGCCGTAGAAAATCATCCTATTTCACCTAATTGGTCTAAAAAAATGTTTTCATAAGGAATTAATTTTCTGCAAATAATATGCCATTTTTGAGTGTCTGTGCTGTACTAATGACTGGTGGAGTAATCATGTAATAATTCCTTATGACTAGATTTTGTATGTAATTTTGTATATTGAAGTGGACATGTTAAGTACAATTTGAAAGAAGAAATATAAAATATGATAAAAATACATTTTTGTGTTTATTTGATTCCTATTCATGATAAGAATAAAATAAGAATAACTAGTGTTACTATAGGCGGCTACAGATTTGTTTATCATTTTTGGTTGGTGGTGTGCCTCGAGATTTTTTCAATGAAAAACTGTACCTTGGCTCAAAAAAGGTTGAAAAACATTGTGCTAATGGACCTCCGGGGCTCAGGGCCGGTTTTATTTATTGTTCGGGAGATATCAAGTGGTGGGAGACGCCATTAGAACAAATTATCCCGTGAGAGATCGATGGAAACTGCAGACAGACACTGTAGCCCCTCCGTGTTTTAGCACGCCGTGTTTGGTTTTTTTTCCGTCTCTTTTCCAGGGCCTCAGATCAGCTGCTTCACTCCCACAAACTTCACCGCCAAGCAGGCGGGATACGTGGACACGTACTGCTGGGACTCCCTCATGCACCACGAGTTCGACGGGGACGGGAACTTTGAGGAGCGCTCTCTCTGGGTGCACAAAGTGAGTGGAAAGATTCTTAGAAAGATTCCCCTGACTTCCTCGATCCACTCAGCTAACAAAACCTCGACCGAAAATGTCACTTTGTGTTTTCTTTCCCCTTCTCTCTGCTGAAACATTGACCAAATATTCTGCTTTAACCTCCCGAGACCCGAACTTTCGTGTAGTGTGCATTTTTTCAAGATATTTGGGATCAGTTGGACCTAATAAGTTTAATAACTAGGCTAGACTAGACTATTTTTTCCTCGTATAAGCTCGGTGGGTTTAAAATGTGTTTATATATTTAATTAAATATTTAATTAAATGTTAATTAAATGGCCTATTTACAACATTTTAATGACACAATGACAACATGTTTGGATTAAAATTTCTAAATAATTTCCCCTTGGGATTATTAACCCTTTAAAGCTTGATCCAAGAATAAAACAAAAC